TGGCAAACAAACTTACTGTAGACCTCGAATCTTTACACATGTGCATGGAAACGTCACTAATTTAAAAACCCAGTGGATATATGGTATTCGTTGATCATGGGCGTCGCGAGGGGGGGGGGGGGGGCAACACACAAAAAAAGAGGAAAAAAGAGAAAAAAAGAAAGAAAAAGAGGCGCGAAGTCATAGTGGTGTTAATTTAATGAGTTGGGGGGGGGCAAAATGTCCCTGCCCCCCCCAATACTGAGAAATCGAGAATATGTTGAGAAATACAGGAATTTTGGGGGAAAAAAAACATGTTTTGCCCCCCTTTAGAAAAAATCCTGGCGACGCCCATGTCGTTAATTTTTGAGGCTGTATGGGTGGTTTGGTCCATTTCCAAGTTGAGACTTGTTGGCCTGACAACAGTTGTATTTATGTATTAGGTTAAAATAATGAGAAGTTCTGTGATCGTTCCAGTCTAAGATGGTAAATACATGTACATTTTGTAAAGAAAATTATATTTTTGGAGCCTCATTGGCCGGATGGTCTGAAGACTATTGTACAATATGTCAAACGTTAACAATTGAAGTTTTACCCGGAGTAGTTTTGGGATTATTCCAACTACAAATTAGTAATTAAAGAAAGTTTATGTTATATTTTGCTTATATTTTATACAAAGTTTGGTGCAACTTTTTATAGTTTTCGGGATTGTATTCATTGAAAATTAAAACTGCTAAATGAAATATGAAAATAAAGGATATGCTTCTGTTTTCTTCAAATGAACCACAAAGGGCAACTGACAAGGTGCTTTACATTGTTTTCATTTTTTTTTTCTTTTTTATTATTATTAAAAACCCAAAGAATATTTTGAAATATTTGCATGTAAATGAGTGTTATGTCAAATTCACTGTCTGTATTTTGCAGTGGCTGAAAATGCTGCAAATTTCTCTTTATTTATTAACATCTATATTTACACATTAATGAACCTACTTTTAAAAATAACTAGAAAATTCTCCTTTTTGCAAGTAGGGCAAGTCCAAGAAAATGTCCCCTTATGGACCCATACGTAACGTACCATGTCTGCTTTATCTCTCAGACTAACACAAAATTTGTTTGAGTATGGTATATTCTCCTTTCCCAGTAATAGCCTGATGGAGTAGACATATGGATTGCATTCAGGTTCCATATTAAAATACATGATGTTAGTATCTCACAATTGTTTCTGGTGTGATCATTTTGTGTCAGTCACATTCTGTTGTATTGCATTTTACCTTAAGATGAGTATGTGAGGAAGAGTGTATAGTGTGTGACTTTCTGGTTTGCTCAGAATTGAATGGTTCAAACCCACCATCATCCCTGTCCTCTGTTACGGATATATTCAATCAAACACAATCCAGCACTTAATTGTGTTTCAATCAAACACAAATCAGCACTTGTGTTTATCGGATACCGATTACCCTATTATCCATAAATCCCAGTCCTACTTCAATGAGGGAGATGGGTCACAGGTTAGCCGTTGCCTTCAACAAACTTGTTTTGTTTCTGCACTGAGCTATACATTTTGATTTTAACATGTTGGACCGAACAGTTAAAAGAAAATGTGTTTAAACCAGCCGATGTTTTATCAGTGGCTTAAAACCAGTCTGCACACCTCCCCTCCCCTATTAAAAATAGTACCTCCACCTCCCCCCTGTCTCTCTCTCTCCTCCCCACCCCCTCCCTCCCCCACCGATGCTACAGAAATCACCACCACCACCCCCCCCCCCACTTTAAAATCCAGCCCCCCACTCGTTCCCCTGTGACACTTGCTTTCCATTGATACGTTGGATACATTCCTATGGTCTTTTGTTTTGAAAATGGAATATGAAAACGCTCTTGGGATAGTTTTGTATCCAAAATTGTACCAACTTCTGGTGCTAAAATTGAGGCTTAAGTCACCAAAAATAACTGAAAATATGGCAAAACTAAAATGGAAAACCGGAGTAAATTGTAAATGGGACACAAGGTGCATGCAGTTTCAAGGATTGCATTAAAAAAATACATCGCATTGCGGCGTAGCTGGGGGGGGGGGAGGTTGGCCAGTCACCCCCCCCCCTGGAAATTTGGCAACCGAAGAAAATCACAGTTGTATCATGTTACCATGATTAGCAACCGTAAATGCCTTTTTTCATGTTTTTTGTGTATTCGAAAACGAATACCCACTCGAAAAACAGCTCTTCATTTTCGAGTGGTTCTTTATTTTGGAGTGGGTCTTCGGTCTTCATTTTAGGGGTCTTGATCGTTTTCGATACTACCATTGTAAGAGCCTTCAAACGAGTCTTGTGTGAATCATTATCCTGACTGGGGGGGGGGGGGGGGTTAAGGGGTTATTTGTACCCTTGATATAATGTGCCTGATCGTCGGTTTTGAACAGCTCCCCCATTGGAAGAATGGTACTAGCCCCCGGAATGTCCGGAGAAAAAAACCTGTCTACATTTCAGCACTGATTTGCTGATTAAAAAAAATCTGAAGGTCCTGACCCCCCCCCCTGCAAAAATTCCTGGATCCGCCCCTGACAGGTCTGTATTTTTATCCCCCTCCGATGGACAATGGTACTCACAATTCAGCCTTTTTAAAACGGAACCCCAAAAGAGAAATTCTAAACTACTTTACTTGTTTTCACTTGAGCAAGTGATTCAAAGAGAATTATTCCTCCATGGTTAACAACATTTGAATATCTGATTTTGTTTCTTTCCATTGTTATTCAGTACAGGTTTAAGCTATGCTTTCCAGTGAACCAAAATGCTCCCCAGCTGCAAAACAGGGCTTCTCATCTTAAATCATCATAATTCCTGCTGAGCGAGTCGGCTATCACTGAGCAGAAGAGAAGATTACAGTTGGTGTGACAGACATATCCATGCTGCAACGTAAGAACGCATCAAATCAAGTATTCATGTAACACAACCCTTATTACATTCTTTCTTTTCACTTAGCTGAGAGTGGGTCATGCATGTATGGTGTTCAGTATGTTTGTGAGTGCAATGGTAAGAATAATTTCATGAGGTGACAGATGGAGTGTTCCATTCAAAGAGACGAAACCAGGTAGAATGGAACTTTCCATCTGTCACTGAATGAAATTAGTTCCATTGCATGAATGCAAATCATTCATTACCGTATGTGTTTTATGCAACACCTGAATAAATCCTCGTCGTCAGAGATGCCAAAACTGTAACCGTGCAATGAAATTTCCATTTATTGTGGCATGGAACTTCTATTTTTTTGCCGTGTGGCCATGCCATTGGGACGAATAATTCAATGACACGTGATCAATGACCCACTTATCAGTATATATCTTGCAATCCCTGAATAAATCCCCCTCATCTGATGGGTGGGTCATTGAATTATTTGTCTCAACCTACAGCCGAGTCGCACCTCAAAAACACAAGTTCATTACAAGATAAAGTCAAAGTTCCTTTGCACGGTCACATGCACAATTGGCGGTGCTGCCAATCAGATGACAAGCAATTTATTCAGGCGTTGTATAAAACAAGTAATGAATGCTTCACGTTCGGCGATGGATGGAATATTCCATTCCACTCAGCTTTACCTTGTGGAGTGGAACATTCCATCTGTCACCTCATGAAATTATTCTGAGCATTGTACTCACCCATAAACATTAATTAATGTGTTGGGGTGACAAAGCAGAAAAATATTGTCTGTAAACCCCTTGAATGGGTGAGCGCAGGCGTTGACATGACGCACCCGTGCGCGTGGTTACTATAATTCCTCGGTTCAGTGTGTGACATCGCGTAGCTGCAATCGGCTGAATGAGAACGTGTCCCGGATGCTGATTTCTGGCGCAGTTCAAAACATGACTCAGCAACTTTTGGATTGAAATCGAGATCCTAGAATATTGTTTTCTTGAAATATACAGCATTCACTGAGCTAAAACTTCATCAGGTTAGTCGTTCAGCACCCTTCTTTAGATTTTGAGCACTTTTGTTGCTTCAAACGAAAAAAAAATACACAAATGACAAATGATATGTAATACCGGTACCTTCAAATCATTGAAGCAATACCAATCAAAAAAAGCAAAAAGAGATGCAATGCACCCCATCCCTCCCCACAAAAAGTGAAATCATACAAGGGAACAAAGTTGAAGAAAACTTGGACTGTTATTTATATGTTCCCCCCCCCCCCCCCCCCCACTTTTTGATTTTACAAAGGCCTGGTGTCCGGTGAAAAAAAAAACCTGTCTACCTTTCAGTACAGATTAAATTGGGCGTCCCTTTACTGTAACATCAAGCCCCCCCCCCCCCCCCCCCCCAGGATGAAACACTGGCTACGTCGCTGACTATTATCAGGCTTTGAAAATCCCTTTTTAAAATTTTGCATTCAGGGTCTGTGTGTACTAGACGTACATGAGATATCTCTAGTAGAGGACATCAATCATGCTGCACATGAAGAAGCCAAGATAAGTTCCTCAACACAAAGGATTGGACTCCTGGGAACACTGCTCAAGCAACCCACGGTGAGTAATGCAGTGTTGCATTCATGTTGCATTTAGGGTCTGTGTGTACTAGACGTGCATGAGATATCTCTAGTAGAGGACATCAATCATGCTGCACATGAAGAAGCCAAGATAAGTTCCTCAACACAAAGGATTGGACTCCTGGGAACACTGCTCAAGCAACCCACGGTGAGTAATGCAGTGTTGCATTCATGTTGCATTTAGGGTCTGTGTGTACTAGACGTGCATGAGATATCTCTAGTAGAGGACATCAATCATGCTGCACATGAAGAAACCAAGATAAGTTCTTCAACACAAAGGATTGGACTCCTGGGAACACTGCTCAAGCAACCCATGGTGAGTAATGCAGTGTTGCATTCATGTTGCATTCAGGGTCTGTGTGTACTAGACGTACATGAGATATCTCTAGTAGAGGACTTCAATCATGCTGCACATGAAGAAGCCAAGATAAGTTCCTCAACACAAAGGATTGGACTCCTGGGAACACTGCTCAAGCAACCCATGGTGAGTAATGCAGTGTTGCATTCATGTTGCATTCAGGGTCTGTGTGTACTAGACATACATGAGATATCTCTAGTAGAGGACATCAATCATGCTGCACATGAAGAAGCCAAGATAAGTCCCTCAACACAAAGGATTCGACTCCTGGGAACACTGCTCAAGCAACCCACGGTGAGTAATGCAGTGTTGCATTCATGTTGCATTCAGGGTCTGTGTGTACTAGACGTACATGAGATATCTCTAGTAGAGGATATCAATCGTGCTGCACATGAAGAAGCCAAGATAAGTTCCTCAACACAAAGGATTGGACTCCTGGGAACACTGCTCAAGCTACCCGGAGTAAGTTTTTAGGCCCAAAGGTTGCCCTTTTTGTAAAGTGCTTTGCTCTGCTAACCAAGGAATAGGCGTGATTCACCACAAAGAGACATTTTACTCAGTTCAAGTGTGGTTTATTAATTAAAATCCACATTTTGCAGCATAACACTGAATTACAGATGTATCCACAAAAAATAGTATGGAGAAGCTTCAATTGCATATATGAGAATACTAAAACCACCAGATTATTGACACAACCTATTACGTTACAAAACTGTTTTATAAACTCGTATTCTGAAAAAGATACGCATATATTACAAAAAGTTATAAAATGGTTACACAAATTTAAAAACACTAATATTTTTAATGGCTTGAGGATTTGAACAAAGGAGATAGAATGCTAATTTTCATTTGGTTTTGTTACAATGAAATTTGGTATTTATGCACGGTGCCCACGTGTGCAGTATGCAGGGCTTAATGTAGACTTGGCCAAGTCTGGGTTGCGCTCGGTCGGTGCCTATAGTAAATCCACTCACAGCGCATATCGCCTACGTCCTTACAGTACATAACGCGCGCCCTCATGCATCGAATCCGGACCATCATGTTAAAAACGTACATGTACATGTTATTTTCAAGTGATGCAGCAACCCAGACATGGTCAATTGGCCAAGCGTACGCGCTGGTTTGTTCCACGTTTGTACACAGTCTATGGAAATTAATTTTTGCTGTGATTGGCTTTCTTAAAATGTTTTAATATTATTCCTAACACACAATTAGCCTTGTCTGCGTGTATTCGCGCAGCCAAAGTTTCGCGGAGAACGCACACGCATCCCATGGTGAGGAGTAGAAACAGATACACGCACACGTACGTTCGAATGCTTTGAAACGGCTCTGGGTACGCACAACACGAAGCGGTATCAATGGATCTCAACATCTTTTACAGGTTACATAACCCCAATAAAAATTCCCTTTTGTTTTGAATAACATTTGAATGTCATATTTTTGATTAATTCAATCCAGGAGCAGCTGATCTTAGCATTATCATCCCAATATAATGTATTTGACTACAGATTAAGATAACATTTTTAAAACTTTTGCAGATTGTTATCCAAGCTTCCATACCTACTGAAAATAATAAACGAGTCTTCAAAAATTGGTTGCTTTGATTGGTCAAGCGATGTTGCTGCATATGCATAGAGACGGTGTTGCATATGCATTGATGAATACAAGCGCGTGCACGCGAGAGGGGGGGTGCAGATGGCAGATTGATCAAGTCGGAATTGCTAACTTTTGCACCACATGTATGCACATGCTCTGCAATACATGCACCGACATGCACTAGCACGCGTGTTGTACAATGAAGTGTGCATTGTCGTGCTTCTTGAAAGATGTAAAACTAAGTGATTTTTGTGAACTTTTTTAAGATACCGCCTTAAAGCAATTCCGACTTGAGTCAATTCTAGCCTCAGGTCGACCTAATATTTGCTTGCACCACGACGGAACTAGCCTTGGTCAAGGCGTTTGTTGATAGTGTCTGTGATAGTATCTGGCATGCGCTGTGCATGCCTTATGAACTTTATGAAGCAACGACCTTGTTCAGCCATTCAATTCATGTTTGGTGAAACACCCCTCTGTCCATGTCTATGTACGTGTCTCGTGCCCGCAGTGCTAAGAATCTCCTATGGAAATTGGCGCGCTCGGCACGTACTGCACGTTGTGGTACAGAACACAGGAAGGAGTTTAAAACCGGTCAGTGTTTTATCAGTGGCTTAAACCCACCCACATTACAGCTCTTGACCAATGGGAATGGGTAAACTGTCTCAGGTATTTATGAATTATCATGAACTAGGAGCAGTAAGCTTTCCATTGATATCTTGGATGCATTCCTCTGTCATGCATCACTAAGTTTCATTGTTTTAAAAATGGTATGTGGCTCTTGGGACAGTTTTGGGTATTTAAGAGTACAGCAGCGTTAGTTTGTGAAAACGAAAATGTATGGTTTGCACTCATCCAGTGCCACACTGTGCCGGCTGTTACTTCGTGAAAACGAAAATAACGTGGTTCTGTAAAATACGCGCGCGTGCTGGGCACCCACACACAACTGAGGGTTTCATACTTTGTGGTGTCAGTAACGAATTGTCCACATCATGCTAAATGCTGACCTGCAAATCCTGCAGCTGATTTCACGAAACTCGTCTATCTTCCGACTCATCTTAGGACTTAAGACGAGTCCCCGCTCTAAGATCAATCCTAGCTAAGACGCGTCCAAAGATCGATTTCACTAAACGCATCTTAAAGGAAGACGCATCTGAAATGCAGCCGGGTCCATGAAATGAATTTTATTGAGGAGCATATTTTGTGGTACCTTGACCTTTAAGAAATGTCAAAGGTCACGGGAGCTGAACCTGCTATGATACATTATCCGGCTCAGCGACATTGTATTCATAAATTGTATTATGCATGCATGACTTTTGAATAGCTGGAGGAATTTTGAAAAATTTTACACAATCAAAATGAATTGTGTTTTGGAAAATATAAAGCTTATGAAAGTAAAGGGCTTTTTGATGTTCAATAGATTAAGCTGTTACAATAGCCACATCAGTTTGCTGAGCCTACTGATACGTGTGTTACGCCCCAACTTCTCGTCGGTCCCAATATATGTTGGGACTGTCCCAACTCGGGTGATCCAGTTGGGCATGCCTAACGTGGGCAGCAACCTTATTCCCATGATTTTGTTCAGCAAAACGATGATAAAAGTAAATTAGTCCCTTGGGATGAAGTTAGGCGTGATAGGGCTAGGATGCTTGGTCGTATCATCAGGATGGGAGGACTAAGAGACAGGCTCAGGCCAGACCTGGGAGCTCAGAGGCAGCTCAAACATGTCGTCTTTTTATAGCAACTTCCAGGGTAGCCTTGTTGAAAATGACTCGGTTTGTCTGATGACACTTTGCAGCACATGGCCGTGGATGTGCTCATCACGTACGCTCGTTGGTAAATGCGTGCCCTCTATAGCATCCATGTATGAGTAGCAGTGCCCAACCCAAGTTAGGCCTGCCCATTGCAACTTGAGTGATCTAGTTTGGCTCAAGTTGGGACAGTCCCGACATAAGCTGGGTCTGACGACCAAGTTGGGGCATTGTTGGTTTGCAAATGAACAAAAGTGTGAAAAGTGAGGACCAACATTATCTTTCTTGTTTGATAAGCTGTACGATAATTCACAGTGCAAACATTCCCATATCTTTTGTTCATTTCGACTAGAATCTTGCATCTTATTTTCCTGTGGATTTGTTGGTTTTATCATTCCAGCATGTGACGTACCTGGAGGTCCTGTTGGAGGTCAAACAAAGGTCGCCCTGCGAAATGAACACTTGCAATACATCGTTACATGGTGAGTACCATCAATGCTCGAGAAAGACACGGCATTATTTGAAGTAATGAATTTGAAGTACAGTTTATGAGTGAAATTGATTGAATTGTTCTAAATAAATTGACTCCTAGGGTCTTTCGATTTTGATTTTCGATGTATGTCGTTTTGAAAGCTAATATGGATTATATTCAATATATATATTTGCAAACTACCGTATGTTGCAAGTTCTTGCTGTACAATTGCGTATCGGGCTGATGCACATTGCAAAAAAAAGTTAAAACATACATAAAAATCCTTTTTGTCCATTTCGTCTCAACAAGCATGCTTCTCAGTATTCCTCACCACAAAAAGATAACTCTTCTGCCGCCCATATGTTGACTTTCCGGTTTGTTTACTTGAAACTCAGTTTTCTGACGAGACTTGCAAGCTTTCCTTTGCCTAGGAGAAAGCATGCACCGTACCAGTACTTGCAGGATGTATGGTTCCTGCCACTGTAAAGATAATAGCCAATGCTGGAAGAAGTAGGAGCAGTTTACAGCACTGAACATAAAGTCAAATCTCTACATCATAAAAAGGTCACGAAAGCATCTTTAGAAAACAGGTTTCTGTGTGTTCATTCACAAAGCTTGATCTCACTTTGCTGGGTTTGTCTTTTCTGGTTTTGTCTTTACAAATCCTGGCCTGCCTACGCTAGTTTGAAACAGGAAGTAATCTGAAGCAGAGGAATTTTTTCTCTTGGCCTAGTCAACAATATTATGAAAAGTTATCACACGTATCATATTTTGCATACACCAAACTAATTAATACATTTGGTTCGCTGAGAGTCATAATGTCACACACGCACACATTTTGCATTGCACTGCAGAGATCTCTTCACAAGCTACACATGCTCAGCTCAGCTTCGACCACATTTTTGCATGAGGGGTGTCAGTCGTTGGAACATTTGCTTACTGTCGTAAGATTAAAATTGCAATTGTAAGGGCACACCAGTATATCTTTCTTTATAACATGTACATGTAAAATACATCTTCGTTTATTAACAATTGATTTTAAATATTTAAAATGTACCTGTATTTTAGTATTGCAATAGTTGCTTAAACTACGCTCTTGAGCCATGCAAAAGTTTGCAGCCCCCCCCCCCCAAAAAAAACACCCCCAGTCCACACAATCAAAATGGCCATGCCTTCAGACGTGTATAAGTTGATGATGCGGCACTAAACACATTCAGGGGCGGATCCAGGAATTTTTGCAGGGGGGGGGGGGAGGAGTGCGTGTGAGGTGTGAGGTGTTTTCGTCAGCAAATCAGTGCTAAAATGTAGGCAAGGTTTTTTTTCCGGGCTCTTGGCCTCCATACAATCAATAAGGGGGGGGGGGGGGCTCATACCATACTTTTAATGGGGGCACTGTTCAAATCTGACAGTCATGAACACTATATTACAGAATAGTGCATAACCCAGCTGGCTCTGTCCCCTATTTTGGAAGACAGTACCAGCCTCCCCCCCCCCCCCCACCCCACCCCACTATTTGATTTTACGGAGGCCGGGTGTCCGGTGAAAAATAGGTGTTGACCTTTCAGCACAGATGTTCCAACAAAAAAAATAATTAGCAAGTGCCAATTTTCAATGATGCCCCCCCCCCCCCCCCCCCAG